GAAAGCTGTGCCACCTCAGCCGGGAAATGCACACACGTGACAGACCCGGAGTCCTGCTGGGGGGCTTCCGGGCTCCATGTGCCTCTGAGCCAGACGTGGGGTGCGGGGCCTCCGGCAGGCGCAAGGGCCACAGCGTTTGCGTGGTGTCATGCCTCCAAGCCCCTGCGCGGCCCTTGGCCCCTCCCACGTCCACTCTTCCTGAGCCTGCAGGGGTGAATATTCTGCTGGGGTCCCCCCCAGCCTCAGACCCCCCCTGGCTTCCCCAGGAGCTGCTTGGGGTAGGGGAGGCACAGGGTCCCCAGAGCGCCTCTACCTGACCTCACCACCGCTGGACGCAGGGCCCAGCCAGCTCCCTGCACACGCACTTGCCCCAGGATCGGGGTGTCTCTCTTAACACAGGCATCACCAACATGACCTTCCCGTTGTCCGACCAGCCGGTGCTGGGAGAATGGTTCATTTTTGTTGAAATGCAAGGCCACGTGTACAACAAGTCCTTTGAAGTCCAGAAGTATGGTAAGTGGGGGAATCCGGGATCCTAGGACTTCAGATCTGGGAGAAACCACCGACCCAGGGATGACACAGATGCTGAGGGGGCAGATGGCAGGAGCCCCAGTGTGGAAGGCTGGCCTTTGTCATGTTTTTTCTTTTCTTTTTAAAAAATATGTTTTTTATTTATTTTTAGAGAGAGGGGAAGGGAGAGGGAGAAGGGAGAAAGAGATAGAAACATCAATGAGAGAAATATCTATCCATTGGCTGCCTCCTGTACACCTCTTCCTGGGGATCGAGCCTGCAACCTGAGCGTGTGCCCTGATCAGTAATCGAACCAGCGACCTTTTGGCGCCTGGGTCCGAAGCTCAACCACTGAGCAACACTGGCCAGGCTGTTATGTCTTTTCTAAAAAAGGGTGGTAAAATGTAAGTAACATAAAATTACCACCTTAACCATTTCTAATGGACAATTCAGTGGCATTAAGTCGGTTCGCATTGTTGTGCAAACATCACCACCATCCATCGCCAGAACTTTTTTATCTTCCCAGACTGAAACTCTGCCCCATTAAACACTAACTCCCTTCTTCCCCTCCCCAGCGCCTGGCACCCCCACTACTTCCTGTCCCTGTGAATCTGACTCCTCTGGGGGCCTTGCGTACGTGGGATCACACTGTGTTTGCCCGGTGGTGCCTAGCTCTTTCTCAGCGCGTCCTCAAGTCCATCCATGTTGTAGCATGTGTCAGAATTCCCTTCCCTTTTAAGTCCTTCTTTTCCTCTTGTTATTTTTTCCTTGTTCTGACCCCGTGAGGCATCTCCACTTTACAGATGGGGAAACTGAGGCTGAGGGAGCCATTAAGGAAAGTGCTCAAGTGACAAGAGCTAGGGAGCGAACCTGCCAGAGCCAGTTACTCTGCTTCTGTGCTAACATCTCCCCTACGTGGTCAAGGGCTTCTCCTTTTAAGAGGAAGATCTTGGTCCAGCTGGTGTGTCTCGGTGGTTGAGCATCGACCCATGAACCAAGAGGTCCCCGGTTCCATTCCTGATCAGGGCACATGCCCGGCTTGCAGGCTCAGTCCCCAGTGAGGGGTGTGCAGGAGGCAGCCGATGGATGTCTCTCATCGATGTTTCTCTCTCTCTATCCCTCCCTCTTCCTCTCTCTCTAACATCAATATCAACATATTTTTTAACGAAAGGAAGATCCTGGGAGGAAAGCCGTAGAGGTCAGGGTGTGGGTTGTAAGCAACAGAAGCCCAGCGAATATTCAGGAAGCAATAGAAGAGGAGTTTATTTTATTTTTATTTTTGTGAAACCTCACCAGAGGATATTTTTTCCATTTAGAGAGAGTGGAAGGGAGGAGGGAGGGAGAGAGAGCGAAAAAGAGAGACATTGATGTGAGAGAGACACATTAGTTGGTTGCCTCCCTCACATGCCCTGCATGCCCGGGGCGGGGATCGAACCTGCAACCCAGGTATGTGCCCTTAACTGGGAATTGAACCTGCAACTCTTCAGTGCCTGGGCCGACACTCTAACCACTGAGCAACACCAGCCAGGGGAAAAGAAAAGGAATTTATCGGCTCATGTAACAAGCGGGTGGGACCGAGTTTCCTCTGCTGCTCCCCGGTATCGGTCCCTCCTCCCCGAGTTGTGAGCTGCACAGGGTGCCCCGGGGGCTGGATGCTCCCAGGGCTGAGTCATAGGGTCAAAAGAGGCTCCTTTCCGTCACAAGCACCTCAGGACGCCCCCCTAGTTGGTCCAGGAGCCACTGGCACACCCCTGGAATGGGATGGGATTCGCTGTACTCAAGGCTCATGGACCCCTGAGAGAAACGGGGTGCTGGCCCCCCAGAGATAGGAAATGGATGTGGCTGGCAACTCCCCAGAGAGCTGCCAGTGCTCAGCACAGGGTGGCATGGGTTCTAACAGTGTAAGCGTGCAGTGGCGGCCGGCATCCCTCTGAGGCCAGCCGGGGGTGGGGCCACCTGCTTCCCTCCGCTCTGCTCTCTCCCTTCAGCGCTGCCCAAGTTTGAGCTCCTTATTGACCCACCCCGCTACATCCGGGATGTGGACGCCTGCGAGACTGGCACCGTGCAGGCCAGGTGAGAAGGGGGGTCCCCCCCACAGGCATGACCTCCTCCTGTGGGACGCCCCTCCCCCATGGGCCTGCTCCTCCCCTTTGGAACATACCTCTCCCCTAAGAGGCACCCTTCCCCAAACTGGACCCCTCCCCCTTGGGTGTAGCCCTCCCCCAGGTCTGTCTCTTCCCCCAAAGGCTTCTGCTCCCCCCTCCCCATCGGCAGCCCCACAGCTGTGGGCTGACCCGAGAGGGATTTCTAGCGGGGGCTGCCCCCTTAGTGGCCAGGCCTTTGACCCAGGCCGAAGTGCGGGGCTGACCAGGGTCATCAAGAGACACTGTCCCTTTCTGGGGCTCCTTTGAGGCCCCTAGTCCCGCCCCAGCCCTGCTGCCTGCTGGAGGTGGTGGCCTGGCTCAGGCTGCTCTCTGGCCCGTGTGTGTATTAAAATCCAAGGATGTGCTGGACACACACACGTTTTCCAGTTTAGAATATAGTTGAAGTGCCTGGCATTATTTTTTTTTCACTACCGTCTCCCATTTTGCTCCGTGCCCTGGTAAGCAGGTGTCCCCTCTGCATCAGGCATGCCATACATGCATTTAAATTCCACCAACATCCCTGAGGTGGTAGTTTTATTCCCAATCTCAGGGTGGGGAAGCGGGAGCTCAGAGAAGTCAAGCCCCTAGTTCACAGCTGAGCTCGTAAGGGCACTTAGAACCAGGCCTCGTGTTCCAGTGGTGTCACCAACCCAAGGGCTTGTCTCACACATTCTGGCCCAGGGTTCCTCTCTGACCCTCGGTCTCTTTTTCTGTCAAGCATGAGGCTTGGTACTGAGGACTGCGGGGCCCTGAGGTTATCTGTCCTGACTCGGGGCGGCAGGAAGAGCTGGAAGGTTGGGCTGCAGGGTGGGGAAGCATCCCAGTGTGAAGGACAGGATCTTGGCACACATCCTGAGCACTCCCCGCTAATAGCCACTAGGTCGCCTTGGACACCTCCACCCTCGTCCAGCTGCTGTACCAGTGACCACCTGCTGCTTGTGACATCAGCTACCCTTGTCCCTTTGTTCCAGGTATACCTTTGGGAAGCCCGTCTCTGGAACCTTGACAATCAACATGACCGTGAATGGCGTGGGGTACTACAGCCAGGAGATGGGGTGCCCCGTCCTCAGAACCATGAAGGTGAGGAGCAGCACCTCATGCTGTCCGCCCAGTGGGTCCCTTCCCACAGCGTCTGCCCTCGGCTTCCGCTCTATTGTCATCCATTTTATTTGAATTTCTAAAACAGTATACAGGGAGGATTTCCCCAAAGATAAAATTCTTGTGGGCTGAACATGGAGACTTTAGAACATTCTTAAAAAGGAAGAAAATAATCATAACTTGTTCTCCAACAGTCTGACACAACTGTTATTGATATTTTGATGTGTTTCTTCCCGGGATATTGTATGTAAATTAAAAAAAACAGTTTTATTGAGGTATGATTCATGTACCACACAATTCAAATACCCACATAGAGTGTACGGTTCAGTGGTTTTAATATAATCACAGAGTTAGGCACCCATCACCACTGTCTAGTTTTAGAATAGTTCCACCAAGCCTCCCAAATTTTTTTTTCTTTTTTTTAATATATTTTTTATTGATTTCAGAGAGGAAGGGAGAGGGAGAGAGAGATAGAAACATCAATGATGAGAGAGAATCATTGATCGGCTGCCTCCTGCACATCCCCCACTGGGGATCAAGCCCGCAACCCAAGCATGTGCCCTTGACTGGAATCGAACCTAGGACCCTGCAGTCTGCAGGCCGATGCTCTATCCACTGAGCCAAACCAGCTAGGGCCTCCCAAATTTCTCGTGTCCTTTTACAGTGAATTCCTGTCCCTCTCCAGCCCCTGGCAACCATGACTCCACTTTCTATGCCTGTGGATTTGCCTGTTTCTGACATTTCATATCAATGGGTTGATAGACTCTGTGGCCTTTTGTGCCTGCATTCTCTCATTCTCATCGCTTTTTCAGCGTTCACCCATGCTGCAGCGTGTTGGTGCTTTGCTCCTTTTTAACGGCTGGGTGATATTCCACAGAACGGATGGGCCACAGGGCGTTGACCCATTCATTCTCGGCTGGACTTTGGGTTGTTTCCACTTTTTGGTGACTGTGGCCGGTGCTGCTCTGGGCATTCATTTACGAGGTTTTGTGTGGGGGCTGTTTCATTTCTCTTGGGTGTGGCACTCCTGGGTCGAGTGGTTGTGGAATTAAATGAAAACCACCTGAATAAGGACAAAGTCTGCTGTGGCAAGGGAATCAGCCATCAGTGGCGTTTGGCAGAGACTCAGCGGCAGGGAGAGATGTGGGCAAGCTTTATAGTGGAGAAAAAGAGAAGGGGGCATCAGGTGTGCCCCAGTAGAGGCTGGTGGCCCAGAGAAGCTGTGGGCAGCTACTGAGAAGTGGGATCCAATACGATGGGTTAGGGACACGTTTTCTCCAATTGGTCCTGAGTTGCAAGTGGGGGCAAAAATCAGGGAAATTGTCAGTTATTAAGAAAGTCCTGGCCGTTGGGGGCCCACTGTTACCGGGTGTGGTTTGGTTGCTAGAAAGAGGGGTCTGACTTCACGCAAGAAGCCTGACCTGTGAAGGAGGGGCTGGCTTCCTGGGCCGGCGACTGCCGACTGTGGGTCAGTGTTCTTCCCACACGATCTGGCCGAGGTCTGCTTGTCTGTTCCCTCTCTCAACGGTGACTCTGTGTTTCGCCATTTGAGAAATTCCAGACTGTTTTTCCACAGTGGCTGCAAGATTTCCCATTCCTGGGTACGTCAAGTTTTATAATCTGGTGTTTATTGTTCTGTATGTTTGTGAGTGTGCTACTGTGTCCCTCCACACACATCCTGGAGAGCCCGTGCCTTCGTGGGGTCCCCCACCACTGAACCCTGTCGGCACCGGCCTCAACTGCACTATGATCGTGGTCCCCACCCCAACCCAAAGCTTCTCTCTGTCCTCTTTGTTCTCCCTGGAGGCTGCTGGCTGATGGCCTCCTTAATTCCCTCATTACTGAGTAATTAACTCCACAGATGTTTCTGAATGTGAATCGGCCAGGCCCTGGTGGTTCCTAAGATGAGGGTTGACTGGGGGCAGTTCTGTGCTCCGGGAGCAGGAAGGGAGTGAGGGCACCAGAGTGGGGCTGGCCAGGTTCAGATCCCTGCCCTGCCGTCTGGCTGGAGGGCCACTGCCTCGCCTTCTGCCAGCAGAGCGGACAGGGACAGCTGCATACCCAGCAGGGATCCATCCCCACGCAGTGCCCACAGCATAGACTGCGTGTGTCGCCGAGGGTCCCCTGGCCCTACAGGTGGCTGGAGAGCCCTATACCTGAGATGTGTGCTTGCAAGTCCTCCCTCGAAGCCACTCCAGCCCCAAGCGAGCACAGCCTGTCTGTCTCCTGCCTCCAGATTCACGGCTCCCAGGACTTTCACATCTGCGTGAGGGACATGATCCCGACTGACATCCCTGAGCACTTCCGGGGCACAGTCAGCATCTGGGCCGCGGTGACCGCCACGGATGGGAGCCAGCAGGTGGCCTTTGACGATTCCACCCCCGTCCAGAAGCAGCTGGTGGACATCCGCTACTCCAAGGCCACCAGGAAGCAATTCAAGCCGGGTCTGTCCTACGTGGGGATGGTAAGCGCTGGGGCCAGCAGGGGCCTTCCGAGGTCACAGGCCCTGCCCTGCCTCCATCCCCACTCCTGCCTGAGAGCCACCAAAAAACCAGTTGCAGCTGGGGTAGCAAAGCCAGCAGGGCCTGATGTCACCTGGCCTGTCCCTGACTCCTTTCTCTATCCACCACCCATAGCCCTGTGCCCTCTTGCCTCCCAGAGTCACCCACAGGATCGTGGTGGTCTGTCCTCACACTGTGTCCCCCTCTTGCTCCACGTTGGGACCGCCCTTCTCTCTTTGTGCCAGCATCTCTGCCTCCATGTCCCACGCATGGAGACACGGCTTCTGTGCCCCTTGATTGCAGGGTCCCGGCTGGAGGAGAAGCTGAAGTACCACATGCATGGCCAGAACATGCATGCAGAAGGGGCTTGGGGTGTCCATTCAGGAAAAGGGGAACATTTCACCTACAGCTGGGCAATTGCTCCCCATCTGGGTTAAGGAACAGAGCTGTTAATGGGAATCACACAGGCCAAACCCCCTGTCACCCCAGCACCAAATCCCTGCCCAGTCGAAGGGCTGCTCCAGGGTCGCTCCGGGCCCCCTGGCCATGTTTCTGTCACAACATGCATGTCTCCTGAGCCCCTCATTCTCGTCGCATGTTCTACCCTCCTGCCCGAGTGAAGGCGGGGAGTCACGAGGAACGGTCCCAGCAGTGCCCGCCCTGTATGTACTCTGACGTGGCGTGAGGCCAACGGCTGGCACGGGCTGATTGCATCTTGTGTCTGCTTTGCCAACTCCAAGGCCGTGAGGTTTTTTCCCTGTTTGCTTCTGAGCGTTTTGTAGTTTTAGCTCTTACATTTCGGTCTGGGATCCACTTTGAGTTACCTTTTATGTAGGATGGGAGGGAGGGTCCCACTTTATTCTTTTGCACGTGGGGAGCCAGTGGTCCCAGCACCATTTGTTGAAGAAACGATACTTCTCCTCACTGAATGGTCTTGGCGCCCTTGTCAAAGATCCTTTGGTCGTAGTAGTTATGTGGGTTCACTTCTAGACTCTCAGCTCTGTCCCCCTTGGTCTCCATGTCTATCCTCATGCCAATACCTCCACTCTCTGGATTAGTATAGCTTTGTAGTGAGTTGATTGCAGTGTGTGAGTTCTCCTTTGTTCTTTTTTTAAAAAATATATTTTATTGATTTTTTTACAGAGAGGAAGGGAGAGGGATAGAGAGTTAGAAACATCAATGAGAGAGAAACATCCATCAGCTGCCTCCTGCACACCCCATACTGGGGATGTGCCCACAATGAAGGTACATGCCCAGGAATCAAACCTGGGACCCTTCAGTCCACAGGCTGTCGCTCTATCCACTGAGCCAAACCAGTTAGGGCTCTCCTTTGTTCTTTATCAGGGTTGCTTTGGCTACTTGGAGCCTCCTGCAATTCCTTGTGAATTTTAACATCAGCTTGTCTGTTTCTGCAGAGAAGCTGGCTGGGGTTCCTGTGGGAATCAGGCCAAGTCTAGATCATTTTGGGGAGTGTTGCCGCCCTAACACCTAAACAACATTGACTCTTTGGTGACCCCTTCCAGGTGGAGCTGACCTACCCAGATGGCAGCCCGGCCGAGGGGGTGACGGTCCAGATCAGGGCGGAGCTGACCCCAAAGGACAACATCTACACCACGGAATCCGTATCCCGGGGAGGGCTGGTGGCGTTTGAAATCCCCTCCATCCCCACGTCCGCCCAGCATGTGTGGCTGGAGGTGGGTGAGTCCCCGGACCCTTGTCATTCAGCCAGCAGGCATGGACTGGTGGGCCTGGGAGGCCCCCTCCCCCGAGGGAGTTCAGTCTGATGGGGGAACCCAAGTGGGAACAGATAACTCGGCTGTCCCAGGGCGAGGCGGGAGGCTGCTTCTGGGAGGCGGAACAATATATGCAGAAGCCCAGAGGACCACCATAGTGCAATTGGGTCCTGCAAGTACCCAGCCAGGCTGAGCCATTTCAGAAAGATATGGAGGAGGGAGTCAACGAGGTTAACCCCCACCTCCCAGGGATGCTTGGGGCTTACCCAGAAGGTAGTGTCAGGGGACAGAGTGATTTGAATTTTAACCCCCAGCAGCTGCTCCAGTGCCCACAGTGGGAGGTGGCGGGGGCACCCCAGGTGGGCACATGAGAGATGATGATGAGAGGGCACCAAGCCTGAGCTGTTGAGGTAGAATCAGTAGGACTTGGTGTCCGATGGGTAGAGGAGGGAAGAGCAGGAGAGATGGAAGAAGGGGTCCCGGCTCTGTGACGACCCCATGGTACTGGGATGGTGAGGACAGCTGAGAATAAATATGTAGGTGGGAGCTGAAGACACTTGTGTCCCCAGAGGGCAACACATCCTTAAAGATTTTAAACCACCAAAGCCATAAGCTTGGGGGTCCCCAGGTCACTCACACTTTTTACCAACTGGCTGTTCCTGCTGCCCACTCTCTTACAACTACAAGCTTGTTTGTTTGTTTATTTATTTGTTAATCCTCACCTGAGGATATTTTTTTCCATTGGTTTTTAGACAGAGTTTAAGGGAGAAAAGGAGGAGGGGGGGAGAGAGAGAGAGAGGGAGAGAGAGAGAGAGGGAGAGAGAGAGAGGTGGGAAAGACACATCAATTGGTTGCCTCCTGCACGCACCCTGACCAGGGCTAGGGATTGAACCTGCAACCTAGCTACATATCCCTGACCAGGAATTGAACTCATGACCCTTTGGTGCACTGGCCAATGCTCTAACCACTGAGAAACACTGGCCAGGGCTGTTTTTTATTTTTAATAATTGAAAGACATTCCTTTATTTCCATTAGTCCTTTAGCAAGTAAGTAGCTGCAAAGCCCCCAAATGACTCAAATATCAGAATTAGCCAAATAATTTTCTCTCACAGCTACTAGTATATATTTAAAATTAGCTTTTTCACCATGGCCGGTATGCTCAGTGGTGAAAGCATTGGCCCGCACACTGAAGGGTCACTGGTTCGATTCCTGATCTGGGGCATGTACCTTGGTTGCAGGTTCGATCCCTGGCTTGGGTCAAGGCACATACAGGAGGCAACCAGTAGATGTGTCACTCTCACATCGATGTTTCTCTCTCTCTCACTCTCTCCGTCTCTCCCTCCCGCCTCCCTCCCACTTTCTCTAAAAATCAATGGAAAAATTATCCTCAGCTTAGGACTAATAAAAAAAATTAGCTTTTTCCAAAAATGTTACTTTACTGGGAAGATATTCTATTCTATTACCAAATACTGCTTAGGAAAAAGTCTTTCTTTCTTTTTTTTTTTTTTAAAGCAGAACCAATTTTAAACACTATCTAATTATTTTTATTGCGATATAATTGACATATAACATTATATTAGTTTCTGATGTATAACAGTGATTCAATATATATACACATTATGAAATGACCATTACAGTAAGTCTAGCTAACATCCATCACCACACACACCTTCAATTTTTTTCTTGTGAGAAGAACTTGTAAGATCTACTCTCTCAGCAACTTTTAAATATATAATACACAGTTGTTAACTATAGTCCCCATGATACACATTGCATCCCTAGGACTTATTTAGTTTGTAACTGGAAGTTCATACCTTTGGCCATTACAGTTTTATTATAATAGAACTAGAGGCCCGATGCATGAAATTTGTGCAAGAGTAGGCCTTCCTTCCCCCAGCTGCTGCCGGCACCGGCTTCCCTATGGCCATTGGCAGGCACCCGGGACCCGGGCTTCCCTTGCAGCCCTGGCTTTGTCTGGAAGGTCGTCCGGTCTAATTAGCATATTACGCTTTTATTATTATAGATAATACAAGTTAGGATAAAGAGTGAGATCATAGGGCGAGAGCAGGGAGGGTCCCAAATTTGAAGCTTCTTGTGCCATCGCCATGGAGTCGGGACCCTGGCTCACCCACATGTAATGACAGACACAAAGAACAGCCAACCAGGGGCGCTCACTTATGCTTTGGTGTCCACGGATTTTGTTGGGGTCTCATGATGTAGGTGCCACTGATTGAATCATGGGCCCTAAGACTCAACTAAGTCTCCCGCTACCTCCCCTCCCTGGAGGTCTCACGTGGCTCAGACCCCCAACCCTCTAATCACATGGTTGGTCTTTCTGGTGTGGCTGTTCCCATCCTGAGTCGTCTCGTTAGCACATGTTATCGGGGCCCTCCATGCACAACGAGTTCACAGCACTCGAGAAGTTCCAGGGGGCTAGAGGCTACCTCCCAGGAGCGGGACCGAAGCTGCCGACGTCTTTATTCTTTATCACACATGGGTATTTTCATTTTTATCAAATTGATTGAGTGACATTGATCAACATGAACATATAGGGTTCTGTGTTACAAGATCTGTATATTGCACCACACACAGGTCTAAACTGCCCCCTCTGAGGTCGCCCTTGTGTTAGCCACGTTCTTTCAGCATCCAGTAAAGGTGCTTAAACTGCCCCCTCTGAGGTCGCCCTTGTGTTAGCCACCTTTTAGCATCCAGTAAAGGTGCCAGCCCTCGAGGAGCAATAGTGGTGTAGCCACCGGGACCTGGGGCAGGCAGGAGGAGGGCCATGAGCTGCAGGCGGGGCTGGTCCAGAGCCCCTGGGATGTTGTCCGCACAACGGGCCCTCCCCTCACTGCCCTCTCCCCGGTGCTCACTTCCCATGCAGCTGATTCCCTTTAGAAGCCACCTGGCTGCTGGCGAGCCTGGGAGGGGCGGTGTTCCCTAATAGGTGGTGGAACTGTCACCCAGTGGCCAAGTGGCAACCTGTCCCTCCCTAGCCAACCCCCAATACCCCGTGGCCAGTCTTGGACACGTGTTTCCCGCAGAGCTGGGAAGGACAGGCTAGCCACACTAAACGCCGTTGACTGAGAATCGGGGAGGGGGTTCCCCAAAGGGAAATTGGAGCCTGAGAGGGTCTTGCTACACGGCTGGACAGGCAGATGCATCCCCAAGATTCCCTTCCTACTCCAGGCACCCAGGCCTTGACCAAGCACTCTCTCCTCCTCAGGCCAAGGTGACGGCACTCAATGGAAAGCCTGTGGGGACCCAGTACCTGCCCAGCTACCTGTCTCTCAGCAGCTGGTACTCCCCAAGCCAGTGCTACCTGCAGCTGCAGCCGCCCGCCCGCCCCCTGCAGGTAAGGCTTCCGGTGGGCTTGTTCCCGTGCCTCCAGGGGCCTGCACACGCCCCCGCACGGCCAGTGCTGATGCTGGTGTTGGAACCCCCATCCCTCCAGCGATGGGGTTTTCCTCGTATTGAATGCCTATGTGCGATGAGAAGGGCCAGCCCACTGCCAGCACTGGCACCTGCTCAGTTAGGGAGATGCCCCAAGACTCCCTCTCTCCTGACACCAACTGCAGAGTTTGGGGGTCCCCAGACTATCCTCAGGTTTTTCAATTTCAAGGAGGAGTTCACAGACTCACTGCCAGCTGTTATGCTCACAGTTATGGTTTATTACAGTGAAAGATATAGATTAAACCAGCCCAGCCCTGACCGGTTTGGCTCAGTGGATAGAGCGTCAGCCTGAGGACTGAAGAGTCCCTGGTTTGATTCTGGTCAAGGGCACGTAGCTTGGTTGCGGGCACATCCTCAGTTAGGGGGTGTGCAGGAGGCAGCTGATCGATGTTTCTAACTCTCTATCCCTCTCCCTTCCTCTCTATAAAAAATCAATAAAATATATTTTTAAAAAATCAGCCCAGAAAGAGGCAGGGTCCAGGAACATCCTGAAGGTGAGCTTCCATCGTCCTCTCCCCACGGAGTCACAGACTGTGTTACGTTCCCAGCAAAAATGTATGACCACATGCCTGGTGTCCTGCCCACCAGGACGCTCATCTGAGCCTCAGCACCCAGAGTTTTTATGGGGGGTCAGTTTCATAGACACAGCTGGCCACTGCATGGCTGGCCTCAGTCCCAGGCCCTCCAGAGGTGAAGCTGGTGTGGCCCAAGACCGTAGGTCAACAAAGACACGTATTCGGCAGGACACCTCAGGGCCTTGGAGATCCCCTGTTAGGAGCTGAGGGTGAAGGCCAGCCCTCTCTTTGGACCAAGTTAAATCTTTACTACCCGACGCCTCACAGAGAGCTCCCAGGATGGCATTTCAGTGCCCAAGAGCCCCGTTTGTAGGGCAGCAGTGAGGCTGCCAGGGGGACATGGCCACAGCCAGGACCGGACTCGGGTGACCTGCCCTAAGGCCAGCACTCCTCCCTTAGCCTTCCCAGCCCCCCTGTCGCCCCAGGGTGGCCGTTTCCCAGGGTGGGCCGTGGCGTTGGTGCCAGGCTGTGGGGGCCGTCTGTTTCCTGCAGGTCGGGGAAGAAGCCCATTTTTCCGTGACGTCCACGTGTGCCTGCAATCTCACCCTGCACTACGAGGTGGCTGCACGGGGCAACATCGTGCTCTCCGGCCAGCAGCCTGCCCGCGTCACCCAGCAGAGAAGCAGGCGGGCAGCCCCGGAGAAGCCAATTCGCTTAACACACCTTTCGGAGACAGGTGAGCTGGCTGCAGGCTGGAGGTCCCGTTCCTCCTTCTCAGCCATGGAGACGGGGACAGGTGCCCCGGAGAGAAGGGGTAACCAGACACAGCCAAGAGGCGAGCCTGCCTCAGGGCGCAGGGCACGTGTCCCTAGTGAGACGGGGCTGGGGCCAGGATGGCAGGGTGGCCAGCGGCTCCAGGTGGAGAGGTCCTTACTGTGTGTCCGCAGGGGACGGGGCAGGTGGCAGAGGCGGGGCCCTGCACTGGCCCACACTCTGCTATGGTGCCTCCTGCCAGCCCCCTTCAGCCTTTGCCCAGGCTGTTGCCGCACCTGGGAGTCCTGTTTTTTTCTTCTCCTTGACTCCATGTGCTCCTCACGAGACCCACCTCTGTCCCAGGGTCTTCCTCCTTTTCACAGCCCTTTTGCCTAAAGCAGGATCTCCAAAGTGGGGACTATGGGAGCTCGAGGGCAAGTCATCCTCGTGGTGGGATGTCCTGGGCACCATAAGGTGTGAAACAACATCCCTGGTCTCCCCCCACCTGATGTCAGTAACAACCCATCCACACGCAGTGACAACCTAACAATCCCGGACATCACCCATGTCCCTAGGGAGAAAAGTCACCTTGGGTGAGAATCCCTGAGAAGATGGATAGATTTATAGATAGATGGATAGATTTATAGATAGATAGATAGGTAGATAGATAGACAGATGATGGAGGAATGGATGGGTGAATAGAGGACAGACAGATGGATGTATGGAAGGAAGGAAGGAAGGAAGGAAGGAAGGAAGGAAAGGAAGGAAAGAAGGAAGGAAAGAAGGAAGGAAAGAAGAAAGCATGATGGATGGATGGATGGATGCATGGATGGATGGATGGGTAGATACCCAAACAGCCAGCTAGACAGACTGACTGACTCATGGATAGATTGATTCATAGATAGATACATAGATTCATGGGTAGATAGACTTATAGATAGATAGGCAGATAGACAAATTGATTTATGGATTGGTAGATAAATAGATATAGATAGATAGATAGACAGACTCATGGGTAGATAGATGCATAGATTCATAGATAGACAGACAGGAAGACAGGGTCTCCTCTCTCATGCTGAGTCACTTTCTCACCCTTGGCCCTGCTGGTGTTTAGGGTGGATCTTTCTCTGCCCTGTGCACTGCAGGGTGTTGATCAGTATGCCAGTCCCACCCACTAGATGCCAGTAGCAACTCCAAGTTGTGACAACCACAAATGTCCCTAGAGTCTAGTAGACATTGCCGAATGGCCCCTAGGGGGCAGCATCGCCTTGGGTGAGAGCTGCTGGCCCGAGTGGGGCTCTAGGCATTGTTCACCTTCGTCCTCTGGGGCCTTGCTTCCCTTCCCTCCGGGAGCACTGGGCCTGAGCTAGCCCCTCCCTGCGCTGTGCAGCCTGGGCATTGGGGGGTCCACCGTGGAGTGCTGGCTCCCCCACCTCTCCCACCTTTGACTTGTCTTAGAGCCCCCTCCAGCCCCAGCTGCTGAGCTTAGTGTATGCATGACCTCTCTCCAACTGGCCGTGACCCCCAGCATGGTCCCCCTCAGCCGCCTGCTGGTCTTCTATGTCAGGGAGAATGGAGAAGGGGTTGCCGACAGCGTCCAGTTCACTGTGGAGACTTTCTTTGAAAACCAGGTAGAACATCGGGATCCCAACGGGGTGGGGGTTGGGGGGACCCCAGGGTGTCAATCGCCATCCGGGGCTGGGAACCCCAGGGTGTCAATGCGGGGCGGGCTGTGCACAGCTGCCACATGGTGGCGCCACAAGCAGGACTTGTAAGGGCTGCCCTGCCTTTGGGAATAACCAGAACCTAAGTTGCATCTTAGCCGGAGCTTCTCCAGAAGTCACCCAGATGGGGATTTGCATTCAGCACACACAGCGAAAAGCCGTTCTCTACCCCACTGGGCTCCGACCTAAGGGACACGGCTTATGCCCCAACCGCAGGCTCAGCCTGCCCTCTCCCCGCACCCTTCAACCTGGCCGCAACATGCCCTCGGCCAGCGCCTGTCTCCCATGCCCACCCTCCCATCCTGTGCACAGAATGTCCCAGTTGCACCAGCTTAGCTCCTGTCACTCTGCCTTCCCCTTGTGTCCTCACCTGGATGGCTGGGCTAGCGAGGACCAAGGCTTCTAGGCAGCGGGAGAGGGTAAGGGGGCGGTTTGGGCCAAGCTCCTGATTTCTCTGCTGTGTTTGGGTCCAGGTTTCACTGACGTATTCAGCGAATGAAACGCAGCCCGGGGAGGTTGTGGACCTGCGGGTCAAGGCTGCCAGGGGCAGCTGCGTGTGTGTCGCTGTGGTTGATAAGAGCGTCTACCTGCTGAGGTCTGGTTTCCGGCTGACTCCCGCCCAGGTGAGTGCCGGCTTCCTATACCTCCCCAGGGGTCGCTTGCTTGTCAGCAAGTGAAGAGCCCGGTGTGAATCCACATACCCTCTCTCTATGGGGCTCATTTCTCAGTGAACCACCCCTTGTCGCTGCTTCTGTGCAGTTGAAAGATCTTGGAGTCAAATTCAGAAGACCTTTGTGAAACGCAGCCCGGGGAGGTTGTGGACCTGCGGGTCAAGGCTGCCAGGGGCAGCTGCGTGTGTGTCGCTGTGGTTGATAAGAGCGTCTACCTGCTGAGGTCTGGTTTCCGGCTGACTCCCGCCCAGGTGAGTGCCGGCTTCCTGTACCTCCCCAGGGGTCGCTTGCTTGTCAGCAAGTGAAGAGCCCAGTGTGAATCCACGTACCCTCTCTCTATGGGGCTCATTTCTCAGTGAACCCACCCCTTGTCGCTGCTTCTGTGCGGTTGAAAGATCTAGGAGTCAAATTCAGAAGACCTCTGCGGCGTGACTTTGTCCAGGTCTCACCTCTCCGGCCTCAGTCTGCCCATCTTTAAAATGGGCTAATGCCGCTACCAACCTAAAAATAAGAGGAATTTCAAAGTGAGAGGCAACAAGCATTTATTCTAGATCAATAAGAAGAGCTACTAGGGACTCACTGATTCCAGTAGAAGCCCAAATAGTGGCCGGTTAGGGGACAAAGGCAAAGGGTGTTTATGAGAAAGGGAAGGGGAATAATTACATCAGTAGGAGGAAGGCATTTCTGTTGGTGCAGGTAACATAACGTAGTGATGCTAATTCTAGACGGTTTTTAAATCTTTTCAGCCTAGTAGTCATCAGTCTGGTAGTTATAATAACTGCTTTCTTGTTACCTTTGCAAACAGTTCTTGGGGGCACAATGTAGCTTTAGGCCTCGTCCACAGGTTATTTTGCCCGGTTTTCACATTCCAAGTGTTGGAGGCATACGTCGTGCAAGGCAGTTCCTCTGGCATGGCCGCTCCGGCTCTGTTTTAAAGGGCTCCCTTTATATTGTGTTTAACACCACCAGTGCCTGTCCCCTAAGCTTGTCTTCAGTGATGTATGTGAAAGGAGGTTGAGACGGGAGCACGCCAGGCCCATGGGAGCCAGTTTGGGCTGAAAAGAAACCCTTAGCTGACTGACCCCCACTCCCCGCTTGCCTGTAGGTTTTCCAGGAACTGGAAGATTACGACGTGTCTGATGCCTTCAGGGTGTCGTGGGAGGACGGACCCCTCTGGTGGGCTGGGCTGGCCGCCCGCCGCCGCCGGCGCTCCTTCGTCTTCCCCTGGCTCTGGGGCGTCACCAAGGACTCCGGGTTTGCCTTCGCCGTAAGGAGGGGTGGTCTTGGAACCCACTTCTGTGCTCTTCTCATTTTGAAACAAAGGGTCTTGGGGATACAGAGTTGGGTGGGGGTGGAGGCTCCCAAACTCATTGCTGCAGAACTTGTTTGCGATTCTCCCCAGTGAA